CCTCTGCTCAGGCTGTGATAGGTGCCTTGGCGTCCTCACATCTAACGCAGGTGAATGAACCTGCATTAGACATGATGATGTTACCTGGGCTTAGAGTGCCGGTCTAGCCGCCAGGCAGAATTCAGAATCAGGTAGGTATATATTTTTTTATTTGAGCCCCTACACCAAAATGAGCAGTTACCTCTGCTGTGTGAAAGTAGCCCCATTGCAAGGGATATATATATATATTTTTAATTCCTGGAGTTCCTCTTTAAATGAAATATTCTGATTCTAGTCTAGTCTAGGTGAAAGGTTCTCTTTAACGCATGTGCTGTATTTCTTCCCTGGTACAGTTGAATGAAATGATTGCAGGTGCCAGCAGTCATTCAGGATGACGTAGTAGCCAGGGGCATATATTGTCAGACTCCCTAAGCTTTCTTCAATAAAAGAAGAGAGGTTAATTAGCATTTTGCAAATTGTTAAACCGGCAGCTACAGGGATAAAACTGCAAATGTAAGCCTAATTAAGTATTTTAGCTAAATTATGTTTGCTGTAATGGGGCTCCTAGCAAAAAAATGTGTTTATTTTGTCAACATCTTGTTTTGTAAATTTTGAAAAGGAATTTATTTTCAGAAGGTCATGAAGCTGTGGGATGCTAGATAATGTAATTTCCTGCTAGGCAGCTCTGCTCCCTGGGTTACATTAATATGAGGAATAATGGAGATTTGGTAGGCCCAGATTAAAATCTATTTTACCATTTTATTAATGACTCAGATCTTCTTTGGACCAGTAGCTGAACAACAGTCTGACCCCCCTTTAGGACATGTAAACATTGCAGGCATTCAGTTCATGTATGTCGTTTGTGTCCCGAAGATGGCATAGCTACAAAGCATTGACTTAAAAAGCATTATAATTTGTTGTGAGCTCTCTCTCTCTCTATCATTTAACTCATTATCTTCATCTGTTAACCTCCCACACATTATTTTCATTCAGCTATTAAATTAAATTAAAGTTGGAACTCTGGCCAAGCAGCAATCTACACAACGAGAATATGTATCTATAAACTATTTTACCCAGCAAAATATTTGTCACTGTTCAGCCACTTTTGCGATTGACGCACTACTGCCACAATGATCAGTAAGATGGCACAACTTTTTCTATAACAGTGAAAAAAGAACTCCGGGCAAATAAAAAATGTACCTTCTAAATTCTTGTTTTGGTTTAGGGGCTAGAATAAATCAGATTTAATGACCTTATCCTGGCTTTCTCCAGCCTGGTAGACCGGTCGCAGCAGCCTCTTCTCCCCTGGGCTCCAGCGGTTTAAAGTTTGACGTCAGCACATCTTATGCAGGCCCACTGACCTGCATTAGATGTGAGGGCGCCAAGGGACGTGCTATAGCCAGAGAGTAGGGAGAGAGAGATGAGCGCTGACCGCCGGAGGAGCTGGGCCAGATAAGTAAACAAGCTTTATTCCAGCACCTACACCAAAATAAGCAATTAACCCTTGCAGTGTGGGGAAACCAGGGTATGTTTTCAATTTGGCTGGAGTTCTTTTTTTTACGACTTCCCGACCGATGATGAAATTATCCTGTCAGGATCGTTCAGTTCGTTAATGACCAGTGACGGGACAATTCTGTCAATCGGTACAATGTCCGCTGGTCCGTGAAGGGACCAGCAGCTCATTGAGTTATTGCTTTTCATGGGTCCCTCAGGATCTGAGACATACCCTCAACAGCAGATAAGGTGGTCACAGTTATCACAGTGAGAGCTGATCGCTGTGATCACAGAGCTGTGAAAGTTACACTGCCAGCAGAAGCTGATCAGGCTATGTGTTTACAAACTTTTACAAAGTATGTCTCAGCGGAATACTGTATTCTACTTAGCGATACTAAGGTGGTTATTCACTCGGCTGCCAAAGGCAGCCGAATGAATAACTGAGCCGAAGTGAAGTGAGTCGAACAACGCTCGGCTATTAATTTCAGCCTTGTACCGCTGATTTCAGCCATACATCGGCTAAAATCAGCCGTACATCGGGTGCCTTTGGTCAGGCGAACATGCTCTGCATTTTGGGCTGAGCCGAAGTGCAGAAGGAGTTCGACTTATCCAATCCAACATCTGGACCGGCTGAGCCGAAACTCCGGCAGCTCGCTCGCTGACGTTCGCCCCTATTCTCTAAGGTGCCGAACTACAGTAAGTGAATTGCCGAATTCGCTGAGCAGCATTCGGCTCTGCTATTCTGCTCGGTACCTCTGAGGTAGCGAGCAAAATAGTAAGCTGAGCCACCTGGCTGCCTTCGGCTGCTGTATGGGCTATTGTGAATAGCCCGTACACAAGCGAGCCAAAGGATCAGCCGTTATTGTGAATAACCCTCTAAGTTTAAATAAAAAATACAAAAATAACGTTTTTAAAAAAGAAAAAACTTTTTTTAAAAGTCACAAAAGTTTAACACTATTAAAGATAGAAGAAAAACATACCACATTCTTAAATTGTTCCACACTAAAATTGCATTTCACTCTTTTATGACCTATAACTCCCCAAATAAACTGAAATCTCAGATATACCCTATAATTTAGGACAAATATAAGAATGTATTATAAATTACTTTCTGTTAGCTACATTAATTATATACACATTATTATTGTCAAAACAGTGAAACATTTGCTTTTTTTAAATTTCTTTTGTATTTTTTGTAACAAAAAAGAATTTATATATGTATATGCCTCAAATTAATAAAGCCCATTTTGTCCTTTTTTTTAAATGGTACATAACGTGTAGTTGCAATGCATGAGGAAGATGGAAATTATGGTTAAACAAACACATAGCAAAAATTGCAAAATTGCTCCAGTTCCCCAGGAATGAAAAACATTTCTGAAGCTGTGTCACTAAGGGGTTAAGAAACACAGAAGTGTCATCTCATTGTCCCTAGTTTCCTGATTAGGCAATGACATGAGGCTAACTGATTATACTTTTCTGATTATACAGTAACGGAGCAGCAGCATCATGTATTCTTCCCTAGTGTAAACATGTGCATAGTATAGAACTGACAGCGCTAGATATACAGTGTATATATATCTATATATATAGATATATATAGATATATATTAATATAGATATCAATCCTGTGAACTCCTAACTTACTTTAGTGAGCTGACAACATAGCTTCTATGTGTAGCAGTGTTGTTCTGGACTATAGAACACATACCTGTTATGTTACGGAGATGTGGAGAAGGGTAGTGCTTTATCAACAATTCATCCCCACACAGCTACCTCCTCCTGCATCACTTGCCCCTCCCTTTTAGATTGTAAGCCCTCAGTGCAGGGCCCTCCATACCATCTTGAATTGAATTGTATTGTGATTGTAATGTCTTCCTTATATTGTAAAGCGCTGCGCACACTGTTGGCGCTATATAAATCCTGTATAATAATAATAGTCAAGAAGGGGAAAAGGGGCTAACAACACTGCTTGGGATTTCAAACATAACATCTTACTACAAAATGTTAGGAGCTGAATGTATTTCTAACAGGATCAACAGGTAGTTGATATACTTGCACCAAGAGACAAAACATGGGGAAATGTGCATATATTGCACTGAATGTGTTTTTTTATTCATTATAATTGTAGGGCAGAGACTTCACAAGGAGGGTACGGGGGGTGAGGCCCGCACCAGGGTGACACCATTGGAGGGGTGACACCAAAATGACTGACAGTCATTTTGGTGTCACCCCCTCTAAAAAGTTGGGCACTAGGTCATGGACCGACAGCCCGACAGTGTCAGGAGAGAGGAGGGGACCCGGCGGGTGAACATCCCCTCCTCTCTCTGATGGCGTCCATCACCAAGATGGCTGCCGACAGGAGTCAATTAGATGAATGCGCATGTGCAATGGCGTCATCGCGCATGCACGATGACGTCACCGCGGGGTGTCACCTGGTCTCCGCTCCGGGTGTCACCTGGTCTCCGCTCCGGGTGTCACCCGGCCTCAGGACGCCCCTGGTGTAGGGTGAGGAGTTAAGAGTTAGGATTAGGGTTTTTTTTTCCTGCTTCAGATAGAGTGTAGAAGAGTCTCTGTTTTGAATAATTTAAATGTTGAGATTCCCTGTTCTGTTTACAAGTCTAAGAAGTCCAGCACACTCCATACAGCATTCAGACCCAATCATAAAAGGGTGCGATGGTGAAGTGGCAGATGGTGCCATCACAACATAAGTCCCCTCCAAGATATCACCAGCACACTGTATTTAGATGAGAAGATAGGACACTACTTTGGTACCGAGAACCACCAGCCTTGGACCCCTGCACCGAAGCCAACATACTGTGAACAGACTCTCTAAAAAAATATACGACTTAGTTAACGTTGATCTATTGTTAGACTAGTAATACTATTAGTGACTTACATGTACTTATATTACCTCATTATCTCTGTACCACATTGGTTTAAATGCCAGCATTATGTTTTAAAGACTTTATTGTTTTATCTCCTATATACATTATTTACACATCTTAATAGAAGAGACTTTGTTATAAATGATGGTGTTATTTTCTTTATAAGAACAAAAACAAAAAGCCAAAGACAATTCACTACCCTTACTTTTGGCTTTGCTGCTTCTGAATTTAACTAGGCATTCACACTGATCTGAAGGAGACACACAGATCCAAGTACTGATTGGCAGCTAACTCGGGGAAGTTCCTTGTCCTGTTGTTACACCACTGAAGAAAATATTTATGAAAACTTCTAATTGGATAACCTATCTCTTAACTTTAATTCTTAAGTCATATCCACTCCTTCTGTCGGGAGACATAACAGAGAGACGGGAAATCGAGGAGGGGAAGCAGCAAAAGCAGTCTAGCTTGTCAAATCAATTTTAAATATTTTCTTCAATGTTCCATCAAAAGTTAGCAAATTGTGTTACAAATGTAATGACACGTTAAACTTTGCTTTCTTTTTTTTCTCGAAAACTAATTGTAATTCAGCCAGTGAAGTTGAGGATGAAAAATAACCTATATGTTTTTGGCTTCTCTTTCCAGTGGAAGATAATAGCCTGTCACTCAAGAAGAAGGTATCGCTGCAAGATTTGGTCAGTGGAGACTTTGCAATCCATGATACTGAGGCTAAATGGATAAATGGTGAGACTGGCGCCACGCTGTACAACTTTGTCCATCAATCTTTCCATTAGTTTCTCCAAGTAGATAATGAAAGCAGCTTTATTATATCCTTGGCTAATAACCCCATGTATTAAGATTGATGCACTTTTCGGGAAGATTCAGTGCTTGATATTTGACACACATCCTTTGCGCGTTTTCTTTTTTCTCTTTTGATATTAACTTGTTTATCTTTCAGAAACCGTGTACTCAGGGCACTGAGCGGTATTAATTAAAGATCATTTGACAATTTTTCTGCCTGGGTTGTTAAATACATTGAGGGCAATTTATCAAAACTGGAGCAGACAGAATCTGGAGCAGCTGTGCATGGTGGCCAATCAGCTTCTCAAATCTTAACTGAACAAACTAAAAAGAGAGGCTGATTTTGTCTGCTCCAGTATTCATAAATTCCCCTTATTATCTTTATTTTAGAATATACAGTTAAATCTAATATTGGTATTCATAAATGAGTTCTTTTGTTCTAAAAAAAAAGTACATTTTATAGATGTTGTGTTCAAATTTTGCTTTGTCAGGCACATTTGTGGTAGGATATACACTACTTTTAAATACATTTCACTATCATGGTCAGAGCCAAATTTATCATTTAATGTGTTACTTATTAGTTCTTTATGATCCACATAATTTGAGGCTTGGCAGGGGTGTGTCCTCTTTCTATATGCTTTGTGCTGTAATGTGTCACTCTATCCCATCTCAGAAAGTTACGAGAAATGGCCATGCCCTAGAGCAACAAGGCTGCCAGGAGTGGCACAAAGCCATCTAAAGATCATGTTTCTGACTCTCTATAACATATTCCCATGTATTTAAAAGATTTGGGCCTATACACCTAAAACCAAAGTGCTAGAGGAGTAGAGGTAATGCTAGTCTACTTCTTGACATCAGTTCTAGGTGTACTGATGCAGAGTGGCAAAAATTCATCCAGCTGTTTTTCTGCAAAGGTAAAAAGCATGTTGATAACCTTTCGTCAGTCAAACATTATCTTTAGTAACCAAACAACTGTTACTGATTCTCAAGCATGTAAGGGAAATTAGGTATTTAACCTAATGCAGGTATTAGTGTATTTAATGGGGAAACCCACTAAAGTGCTTCTCTTTTAACAGAAATAGTGTCTCTGTTTTCACCGTTTGGTGTTTCTTAATGTTTGTGATTACCATGTCCCTAAGTTCAGGCTGTTCTATTAATTACAACACTGTATATGTAGGTTCTCCTCTTCTTTATACAATATCTTTAAGTTTAATTGCAATAAGGCCAGACTGTAGAGCCATGGAACATTAGTGTCAGCCTTGTGACAACATGTTTCTACACTAGAATTGTAAAACATACTTCTTGGAGCGCAGTTAACTTTTGCATTACTGTTGGTGGCCCATCATAGGGTAATATTTTGTCTACCTTAGACAGTGAATAGCACCAGCCTGCTGTCTCCAGAGGTTTGTGAGCTCTGTTCTAATCAGAAGAGAGGATGCATTAGGGAGTCAGTTGGAGATGTGTGGTGTCTGTGATAGGAACAGACATGTTATGCTTTCAGGGGATGACTGATAGAGATCACCAGGTAATTACTAATCAGTGCCCCCACCCAGATCCTGGGGGAGCATGGTATTATCAGCCATATTGCTCCAGGGTAGAAATTGATCCCTGATGGAGAAAGGTGGGAGAGAAAACACCTACATTGTACAGAGAAGAGTCTAAATACAGAGAGAGTGTACCTGTCACTGGCTGTAAAGTTATCCAGCACTTTAAGGGCCTGTTCACGTGATATTAGGTCCGGATCAGGTGCGGATCTGCAGACGAGGTGCTAATGATGCAGTACGTTTTTGCCGCATTTTGGCCGCATTTTTGATGCGTTCCAGTTTTTTTTTGCTGGAGTGGGGCTGTCAGTATGTTAGCTGCAGTGCAGTGCTTTTTTGATGCGTTTTTGATGCGTTTTGCGTTTCCGGTCCGTTTCCTGACCGGAAAAAATGTGGCATGCAGTAACCTGAACGGACTGCGCACGTGAGAACTGTAGCCCATAAAACACATAGGGATACATTGGGATGCATTTTTAGTGCAAGAGCGTACGGATCAGGTCAGCACAGAAAACGGATGTCGTGTGAACAGGCCCTTACCACAAAGTCGACAGAATTGTCTTTTGCTTTTAAAGAAAACATTGTTTCATTGAACAATTTATATTTATTATATACCCAAATGTGTGGAACTCCAGGACCTGTATAAAGGTAAACCTGCAATCAGATGAGGAGGGGGTGACAGAGGCATAAAAGGAGAGAGAGAAATGATATAGAGACTGTTTTGTGAAGAATGCAGTGAGGTCTGAAGGAATTGGGTGGAATTGGGTGGAAGTCAACCAGATATGGTGCCTTTCTTTGTTGGGAATCGTTAGTCCCACTGATGCAGCCCTCTGAGAGGAAAGCAAAGCTGGCAAGCTGGAATTGGTAGCCACTTACTGGATGCAAGTCAACACTAAATTAAAAGAGGAAAGTCTGCTTTTTAGTGAGGTCCTGTCCATGACAGGCTAAGCATTCTGGTTTGGCTGCACTGCCTAGAGTGTGACCTTGAAAATGACTCCTTTGCCACAGAAACGTGTAAACAACGTCTCCGAGTTTATTTTTTTTGTTCAGACATCATATGTTTAATTTTCAAAACATTCTGTTTGTTTTATTACATTACATTGCAGATGCCATTGCCACACAGCACACACTAAGGCTGAGGACAGAGAGGCTTAAAGAGACACTTTGCATCAGTATACCTGCAACCGACAACTGCAAGAGTAGAGCAAACTGTCTGCTAGCAGTTTAGATCAATGTACAGGAAATAGTGAGACATGCCTCCTTAGGTCAAAGGCTATGTTGGTTATGGAGAAATATGGTCCTGATTATAGTGTGAATTGCCTGTGCAGTAGGGATGTACCGATACCTTCAGGCTTGTATAGCTGATTTCAGTCCTACATCGGCTTGCTTCGGCTGGTTTCGGTTCAGCCGAACATGCTCAGTATTTTCGGCTGAGCCGAAGTGAAGAAGGAGTTGGCTGAGCCGAACCTCCGGCAGGCTACTTGCTGCCGTTCGGCCTATTCTCATAGAAGCCAAACGTCAGTGAGTGAATAGCCGAATGCCGCTGCATTCGGCTCGGCTATTCAGCTCGGTACCTACAGTGAAAAAAGTAGAAGAAAATTTTTTTGCAAATGTAAATAAATGATAAATGTTAAGAAATAAATAAAGATTTTTAAAAAAAAGAAAAAAAAGGATAAAGATTATTGAAAAAAAAAATTAAAAAAAGAAAGAAACAATTGGGCAGAGCTAGCAGTGACAGTTAGCTCCGCCCAACTGTTTCCTATTGGCCGGGACCTGCTAGACACTTCTAGCAGGTCCTGGCCAATGAATAACAACTGGGCGGAGCCGGCCGTGATGTCAGTCCGGCTCCGCCAAGTTGTCATTGTTAAAGCAGCAGGGGGCAAAAGTGTGAAGAGATAAGAGAATATGGTAAAATGTGTTTGCAAACACACAAATCAGGGTAATCTGACCGAATCGGAGCGCATTGATCTCGTCTGACTGCTTGTTTAGTGATAACTGAGATTTTTACCAGGTAATTATGTCCTAAACAAATCCCGCTGACAGAAAATTGTAGAGGAAAGATACTCACAGTTCTATCCATAGTATTAAAGCTGAATTCACCTCTGAACTACATGCACTTTCTGGCCAAAAAAAAAGTCACACACATTAATATTTAGTTGGATCACCTTTAGCTTGATTACGGCATGCAGTCTCCGCAGCATCATTTCAATAAGCTTATGCAATGTCACAACATTTATTTCCATCCAGAGTTGCATTCATTTTTCACCAAGATCTTGTAGTTATAATGGAAAAGTCAGGCCACTGAGTAAAGTCTTCTCCAGCACATACCAAAGATTTGCAATGGGGTTAAGGTCTGGACTCTGTGGTGACCAATCCATGTGTAAAAATTATGTCTCATGCTCCCTGAACCACTCTTTCACAATTTGAACCTGATGAATCCTGGCATTGTCATCTTGGAATTTGCCCATGCCACCAGGGAAGAAAAAGTCCATTGATCAAAATACAGGTCATTCAGTATATTCAGATAGGCAGCTGACCTCTTAGCCTGCTAAAAGATTTGTAATTCCATTCAACCAGTCATGTTTTCCAGATAATCCTGCCTAACTGCATTGCTAGGTCCTGTGCTCCAATAGATGTGTCTGGAGTTGGACAATACATCCTAGATACATCCTAGTGTAAGAGCCACCCTAGCTTGTCAATGGACAATAAAGGAGCAGCAGTATGCTGACAAGATCATCTGATTATTTTTTAATCCATTGAACCATTTTAATGAACTGGATTAAACTGTAAATCTCTATATCTGTCTAGAGCTTAACTGTCAGCAACCTGCTTAACTTTGGATATGTGTAAAAATTCCACTTCTGCCTTCTGATGTTAGGAAACATATTTCACACTTTCTCCAGTTATATTTAGAGGTTGGCCTGTTTTTGCCTGCTCAGCACCTCAGGGAAAGGTACAGACATAAGTGCTTAAGAGATACAAGTTCCCATCACATTTATGAAAAATCACCGGACTTAATATGTGTGCTCAGAAGTAATGCTTGAACAGGCCAGCCAAGGAGTGCAATGGAAGTGACCTAGATGAAGTGTCATACAACACTCCATGGCATTGGGTCACCAAAAAGTCCACCTTAGATCCCTTTCTTTCATATATGAAGTTTAGTGTTTTGACATGTACCCCCTTTAGTAGTCTATACTTGGTTATGCCTCAACTTGTTCATTGATGTGTTTTAGTCTTCAGTATATTCAATATGTGTGAGAACATATGGAAAGTTGAACTGAATTTTTTATATGTAGGCATGGTAACGAATCCATGGCACAAATTTTAAAGTTTACTTAAAGCCTAAACTTGGTTAGATGGCTAGAACCTTTTGTGAGGTTTTTATTGCTGTCAATGTTCCTGCTG